AAGCTTGAAGTCGCGGAGAGATTTAAATTCTTTTTTGTCCGGGGGGGGGGGGTACTCGTCGTTATGGCCCATACGAGGAGGCTCCTCCTGAAGGGGGGAGGTATCTTGATCTTTTTCATGCAGGCTTCAAGTATATGAAAGGGTAAGGTACGGATGTCACTTGTTGAAGTATATGAAAGGGTAGGAAAATCAGTCATCTCGTTCTTTAAAAAGTTCTAAAAGGGATTATGGCTGTGAAAAAGTTCATGTTTTGCGATTTTTATTCATGTTTTAAAGACAGTAGATTTACAGCAGTTAAAAGGGATGCTAAGTACTAAACAACTAGGTATGTGAAAGGGCTTTCATTGCTGTAAAACTATGTTGAGTGGGCTCCCCCCGGACTGAACGGGATGTCGAGAAAACGTTTAGTCAAAAGGGATGCCAAGTACGTACTAAACTAGGTATGTGAAAAGGGTATCATTGTCAAAAGGTATATGAAAGGGGCACCGTTTCTGGCAACAATGGTTTATAAAAGGGTGAGGGGTTAGACCTCGGAGCGGAGCCTTTCCGTAAACTATGTTGAGTGGGCTCCCCCCGGACTGAGCTGGATGGCAATCAAATACGCTACTGTGTCCAGCCAGTCCTTAAAACTTAGATATCCAATTCGTTAATTAAAGTTAGGGCTTCAATAGACCTATTAGAGTTATACTGATGCCTAAACCAATGATGTTTTCACTCACGTGATCTGCATCTATGCAAATTTATTGGAACAAAAGAAGGCGTTTGATACGAAAAGAATTGAACTCCCATAAGGGTGGACGGGGGTGGTCTAGGACACCAATTGATAGCCGCTGTGACGTCACGGGGGGGCATAAAAAGGCAGTCATGAGTTACGCATGAATATATTGTTTGTTTTAACCATGGATATATTCGTAGCCAGCAGATAAACAACAGTTGTTAGTTTGTTTAGTAATTTTTAGCTACGCAGTTATTTTACACACCGTCGAGTGAAAGTAATTTACGCACCTCTAAATCAGCATGTTGCCGACTATGTGCGCTAAAGCTTATGACTGTTATTTCTTAAATTCGATATAAACAGTCCATCGAGTTCTCAGGTCTCGAGTGACAAGTCCTGCTTCAACGCAGGCGAAAAGGAACAAAATAAAGATAATTTTTTAAAAAAGATATATTTCTCTCTTCAACAATGAACTTTTTTTTACTCATGTTATTCTACTGGGTGCAAAATATCTGAATTCTATTATTATGCGTATAAAGATGACATTCATTGGCAATCGATTCAATAATGGCCGGATTAGATTTGATAACAGATTTCTAATAAATGTTCTCAGTTCTTGGTTAACCGCTGTCCACTCCTATTGCTGCGTCTAACGGTTTGTACCAGTTTCTTTGGAAATTGTTTAGTTCATGTAGTAACTTATTACAACATAACACACAAAGATAAGTTAAAAGGTCAGTTAAGAATAATTTCAATACGTACGTCTCTTTCCAAAGGATACTGACCTAAAACTGATCAATTTGTAAATTTTAATTTTATCAATTTTATAGTAAGGCTTTATCATTTTATAGTAAGGTTTAAACTCTCTTCATGCCAAAACTGAGAAATTATGAGCAACAGAAACATTGTGTTCTTGTAAAACGTTGTCCTATCTCCTTGTTTTCATGGTTGTTACACAACCAAATACAATATTTAGGGCAAGTGTAAGAATAAGCTATCGTTATATTTTAAAACTAAATAAACTCACATTGCTAACGAGTCACCGACGTCGTGAAAAAGAGTTAATGATCATTTTTCTCTTTCTTTTTTTGTTTTCGCATTGGATTTGTCTTCGTGTTGGATCTGACTAAAACAAAAATATTTTCTGGCATAACTTACCACCACAACAAAGTACTTTGCAAGTGTTTTATCCATCTCGTCGATGTCGTTTCAGCGACTGTTGACAAGACAATATTTGCAAGCTTTGAAATTGGTGAAGAATATAAAGGAACAGAATTCTTTAAAAGTCAAGATGACGTTATGAGGTGTTTTCCCTTTTCTTAATAATAGAACCTTGAAGGTTGCCCCGGCGCGCCCCTTGTTTCAAGACAGAATCGAAACTTTATGTTTGAGAGAGGTGAGCTCCTTTCGCGAGGAAAATTTTCCGCTATTTCATCCAGAAGTTAGATGAAAGAATCAGAATAGAAAAGCTGCAAATAAAAAAGTTACGAGTGCAATGATGCAAAATCAAGAAAGACGACAACGAAGATTAAGTAATCTATCAACAGGGACAGGGAATACAAACAAAACGAGTTCAACTCAACGTGCTGAAAATTCCACAACAGCAGTTGGGTCAGCGAAGGCAACAAGCGATGTCACTTTTCACGGGCGCTGTGATTCACGGAAGACAATTCAGCAATTCAATAAACACCTTGAATCAATTCCTTGAGTTAGCAGTCCAAGAAGCAAAAGTAGAATCTTCTCCAAGGAGGTACAAACGATTAAAAGTATTAGATTCTGACTTTGATTAGTTGAATTATATTTAAGCTTACATAAACAATAAGCTCTTTTGAGGGGAGCACTGAAATATGAAATTCGGACGATGGAAATGGAATACGGAATACGAAATGCGAAATCAAATATCTTTGACAGAAAATTAAAGAATTTCACATTGCATAATTAAGTACAATCAAAAGAGGATTTATTTTAGTTTTCTTGGCAGTTCCTTAAATATATTCTTGTTATTGTGTTTTGATAAGGTTTGTCGTAGTGTGGGTTATTGCACTGCAAGGCTGACAAAAGTTATCTTACGAGTTATTTATGGGTTGAATAATACCGTTAAATATTACCTGTTTAGATTAGTGTCAAGAGTAGTAGTAGTTGGCCTCAGACCATACAACATGATTGTCCCCAAACTGAATACTCAACACATGACTGAGCCGTGACGTGACCACAGTTTCGGTGTTTTAGCAATAAGTTCAACTTCTTCGCCAAGCTGAATGCTGATGGAACACTGGTGTAACTGATTTTGCGTTGACGTCCGCTGTATTTCTGTTGAAGAGGCTTATTAAACATGGCGCATTATTTTGATGTAATCAGTTGCGGACTCAAGCAAAAGCATGCACAATTCTCTCTTCTCTTTGGACTTCACAATGCCATGGTTCTCTTGAGTAAGTTGTCTTTATAAAGAAAACTGAACAGTGTTGAAGACAATCCAGGAAAGACACCCAGAAAAAACTTGACGACGACGCCTTGCAGTTATATAAACGACTCCTCTGTGGATTTGAACGAAGTCTGTCTCCATATAACTTAGTTATTGTCAGTGACGTTTTTCTCCTCGCTTTGCTGTCCAATGAGAATTTGCATTCATTTCCCGGAAGTGGTATGAAGAGTCTTTTCACCGGAATCCACTCATCTGGTCATACAGCAGTCTCCTCTACTCAGGTAATTTATTCATTTATGTCTTTTTTTAAAATCTGTTTATTTATTTTATTGTCATTGCTATATTTTTTGTCAAATCGATCGCTTGGAACCTTCTTTCACGGATTCCGTATTCCGTTTCCGGGTACCGCATTCCATATTTTAGTGCTGCCGTGAAGTATCACTAACTCACTCTCGAGAGCCTCGCTCGTTCGTTTCAGATTCTTCACAACTCATGAATAAAAATAGTACGCACTCACTATGAAGTAATCTCTATAAAGTTTGATAATTTTAAATTATCAACCCTTAGCTGTCCGATCAGCCTTGCCTTGAAGTTTAAGTGTTAAAATTTAATCTAGGATTAGCGCTGGATCAACTGAGCCCCAGCCTACAAGTGATCTGGTGACATTCATCGTCTTGTCGATTAGAGGTATTCTAGCTGTTAAATATTCGTTACAGACTACCAAGGGTAAATTGGCCAAAAAACCATGTTACTCGGTAGGCTCTGATTTGCTTTCAGTGGATGGAATGAGTATAATAGTGTTCCTGTGTTCAGACAGTGTCAAGTTAAGTTACTAATCAACCTGCAAAGATTATTGAAAAGTTCGTCTTAGAAGTCAATCAGATATATTCAGAATAGCTTCTTTATTTGTCAGCCGTAAACAGGATGTTATTCACTTGCAGTCTTTGTAACGTTTGACCCCTCTTCAGCGCAATGAAGGGCAAAGTTAATAGGAAGCGACGCCCATTGCGAGTGATAATTAATATCACGGGTGATACGGTAGTTAATGTAGTATACCGACTACGTACTAAGGCGGGTAAATTGGCCAACAAAATCATGTTGCTCGATAGGCTTTGATTTGCTTTCACTGGATGGAATGAGTATAATAGTGTTCCTGTGCGCAGACAGAGACAAGTTAAGTTACTAATCAACCAGCGAAGATTATTGAAAAGTTCGTCTTCGAAGTCGATTAGATATATTCTGAGTACAATCTTGGACAGCGTAAAATGGAACAGCAAACCCCCATCCACCCCAAATCAAGGATGAAGCCGCGAAAAAGCCAAAACGCGCCATTTTCCCATCCTTGATTTGGTGGGGAGGGGGTACAAATTTTCCATCTATTTTGCCCAAGATTGTAGCTTCTTAATTTGTCAGCCGTAAACAGGATGTTACTCAGTTGTAGTCTTTGTAACGTTTGACCCCTCTTCAGCGCAATGATGAGCAAGGTTAATGGCAAGCGACGCCCATTACGAGTGATAGTTAATGTACTTATCACGGTTAATAAGCTTTGTAAATTGATCATGACACTGAACAACTTGCCAATTCAGGTTTTAGGTTTAGATTAGCAAAACAACAGTTTTGCACGTGCATCAAGCTTTTTGTGCATTTCTTTGTCGTCGTTGGGCGACCACGACGTGAAACTTCCTAATAATTTCTCGTTCTGTGGGGGGCGCAAATAGAAGACAACGATTTTTTATTTCTTTTTTTAAACCTAGATAGAGTCCTTTAGTATATAACCCTAAAAAAATTCACCAACATTTGACAAATTGAACGTGATGTGACATGGTAAAACAACGTGGATTGACTTTTTTAGACACCCAATCCCCCGCGACGTCGAATTCTGAAATATTGAGAAAAACAATACTTTATTTAATTTGGCAAAAAGTAAAGCGTCTAAAATGTGCAAACTGATCACAAAAAAATACAGACTCTCCGTTTGATGCCTTATGTGCTTAGACGAAGACAATTTGGTATATTACCAAACTAACAGTGCGTTAATTAAACACAAAGAAACTATCATTATGACTGAACTAAGAAAATTTAAGGCCTGTAGAAGATGTACTGTTGTCAATATCATAAAGCATTTGTGTCTAACTTAATTATCTTTTGGAATTAGTTGTTGTTCAAATCTAAACCTCTGCAGAGTTATTCTTCTAATTAGTTGTCCTTCTTGTTCAATCAATAACGTTTTGCAAAGGCAAAAAGTTAGAATTAAATCGACCTGCCTTGTTTCCAAAGAAAAAAAAAGATTGACCCCTATCAGGGCTCCTGCCCATATTTCTTTTGCCGGATGCAATGGAGCGGCAGACAATCCACTAAACTAATCAGAGCGCAAAATGAAAACAATGGATCAAGATTGTACTTTCAAACCAAGTTAAACTGTTTCTTACAATAAACTCTACTGAATAATGAGTACACCTTGGTAAGAGTATTTTTGAATATTGGTCATCAGCTATAAACTGGAAAAAGTACAAAACAAAACAGCAAAACAAAAATTTCATGTAGTTACAAATGCAGCGTTGCATAAGGCAAAGTAAAAATACCGAATATTTATAAATAAAAATAGACCAAATCGGTAAGAAAGTATACACACCACTAAACATCATTCCAATAGGGTGCGATATTTCTGGTCAGCGACGTTAGCGCATGACAAAAGGGATCCCTGGGGACAAGGCTACGACATGGCCAGTACCTTACGCATGTGTACAGCCATATCATCCATGTCCATGGCAGCCAATTGGCAGTCATGGACAGCTGTTTCGCCCTTATTTTGCTTATATTGCCTAGTTTGGTTATGTCGGCAAAGTGTACTTTCTTGTGGAATTTGGTTTGCAGAATCTTTGCTTTAGTATTAACGGAAATTTTCACTGCACAAATGATATTTTGAACCAAGTACTACAATCCCTCCAGGTCTTCCATTTATCTAAGGATACCCTCCCAGCCTTGCTGCTTTTGAGTACTCGAGGAGGCATGGAACGAGTCCTGACTATCTTGTAATTTTCTGTGACATCGGCATTTCCCTGAGCATCACGGTATTGCAGAGTAACTGTACTTGACTGGAAAAAATGCTTGTCCTTAAAGATTGATGACTTCTGCAATCAAGAAGCGATGTATATTTCCCTAATTACACACGCTGAAGGTAAAATCCACTCTTTCTTTAAACTGGTACTTAACCCTTAAGGATTAGTTTTTTGGGTTTTTACCCTAATAGTATAGGTGAACAAATCGAAAACAATTTTCCATTCTCCATTTTCAGATAGACCATAATAAACCTTGATTACCCCCGAAAATTTCCCCTAACCATTGTTTCCAATTTCTCCTGGGTATTACAGTCGTCCCAAGAGAAATCGAAGACCATGGCTATACAATTTTTTTTTTTGGTGGGGGGGAGGGTTAACAAGGTGCATTATAGTCAAGTCTATGTGACAAAAGTGAATGGTTTTTACTCTTATCGATTGTAGAAATGACGTCTAAATGTTTAAAACTCAAGTGGAGCCACAAGTGGAGGGGGGGGGGTGGTTTCACTGAAATGTTTTGAACCTTTTGATGGCGTTTCCATGGTCTTAAGAGTGCAGTTACCATGGCAACCCTATGTTCTGATGCGGTTAATCTTTCAAATCCCAATAGCGACTAATAATAATTTTCTTCTATAAATGTCATTACAGCATCAAGAAAAAAAGGGTCAAAAGTATATCTCCGCTAGGAAAGTGCATTGATCTAATTCTTTAAGAGGAAATGAACGGAAATAAATCTGGAGAATTTGTTTGAATATTGGAGTCAAGCGGGTTTCCAGCACTGACTCGGCCCAGGTTTCAGTTAGGACCAAAAGATCTTTTTTCTGAAAATTTTGCAAGGGGAGAATCGGTTTGTTCTACTACGTCCTTATGCAAGACAAAAGGGAGAAGTTATCTAGAAATAAAGGGCTAATGGATGTTATTTGTAGACAGTAATTAGACGTACCTTAACTACCAAACGTTTTCCCTCTACTGTCAGAAAAGAGTCTGGAAAAAGAACAGGTCGAAGAGAAAATTGCATCGTTCCATTAACAGTGCCGACCGAGGTCCAGTTGCTTGTGTATATAAATCCTGTTAGGAAACCAGTTAAACAAGGCAATTTTAACAACTGTACATGTAAGCAAATATAGGATACATACTGCACCCTCTGGGCGCTTATAAAATTTTCTGAGTCCAGAGGGGGATCTTATTTGAAGAGGGGCGCTTATATTTTGTTTTTCATTTTCTTTTTTCGGCCTCAAAATAATATTGTCTTTATTTATAATACAGTCGATTCCCGTTAACTCGAACCTCCCGCTAACTCGAAGCAATTTTCATTTCCCTTGAGACCATTTTCCATATAATTTTACCGCCGCCTGGTTAGCTCTGTTGGGAGAGCGCCGGCCTGCTGAGCGGGAGGTCGCGGGCTCAAACCCTAGCCGGACCAACACTCAGGGTCTTTAAATAACTGAGAAGAAAGTGCTGCCTTTGTAATGACTCCTGGAAATGGTTAGACTTTCTAGTCTTTTCGGATAAGGACGAAAAACTGTAGGTCCCGTCTCACAGCACTTTCGCTGTTCTGGTTCTTGTGGGACGTAAAAGAACCCACACCAGTGTTCGAAAAGAGTAGGGGACGTAGCAACCTCGTCCCCAGGGGTTTTCCCTTAAAAAATGGGTGAGGCGGGAAAAACCCCACCTATTTTTTAAGGGAAAACCCCTGGGAACGAGGTTGGGGACGTAGACCCCGGTGGTGTGGCCAACTTTTACGTGTTGTGGGATTGGGTAGGGATGGCACCTTGCATGGGACCTATGAGCCCCTTTCGTGCCTATTCCCTCTGGGCAGGTCTGTGTCCAGAAAAGCTAGTAAAAACAAACAAAAAAAACCCTCGATAAATCGAACTTTTTTCTATCTCCCTTGAAGGCTCGAATTATCGGGAGTCGACTTTAGATACAAACTTGACAGTCAATCGACAGCTTACTAGAACGTAAGTATCTGGTATCCGAAACCATTCTTTTTTACTTATATAACGTATATTCAGTGTTTTTCTGTCTTTCTTGGGAGATAGTTGGAGGAACGCTTATTTGAAGGGACACTGGATTCATATCTTTATCCTCTGGGGGCAAAGTGAGTTGATTCGAAGTGGAGGGGGGGAGTTGAGGGGGCTGCTTCATATTAAAAGAAGGGCGCTAGTTCGATAATTAACGGTAGACACAAAATGTTCTTACTTGCTGCACTTTCTTCTTTGTTGCCCGTGAAGGAAACTTTGAACCTCTGCGCATTTTCCATCCATTCGCTCTTCAGGAATCTTTTCACCCTACTTTCTCTTTCGCATGCTTCAACAGTGACTTGTACATAATTCGAACTGCACCATACGGGTTGCAAGACCAAGGCTGTGAATACCTTAAAATAGGTAAAGAGAGAAACTATTGAATAAAAAATCAAACCAATACCCCTCTCAATTTCAGAAAGTACACTTTGCACATGTGCGAAGCGTTAAGCCTAAAATGTAGCTACACCCAGTTCGCACTCAACGTTGGAGACTTTATTGCCCAGACCTTCTCCTCTGAAAGCTTGAAGCTAAGCTAGCATAAGTTCGGTTGAAAAAACAAATAGACAGTTGAACTTATTAAAGTAAGTTTTCCGGACGGCTTTGCAAAAAGAACCTCGCTGGAGTCTACGGAGAGAAAGGAGTGTTGCGAGCGCAAACATGGATAACAAAGAAACCGGGAAAGAAAGCGGATGAACTTGGAGCTAAGAAGGTCAAAGACAGAGTAGCCAGCATATGTCCGCCTCATTGGCTCTCACATCCAACCGCCCGTCAGATTTGGGAGGTGGAAAAGGAGTTATCAGGTTTGACCCAAACGTTTTAGGATGGCCGGCCGGTCATAAAATGCAGACGGTTTCTGTCGTTTTTTCAACGTTACATTGTTAGGGATATATTGCTGACTGAGATATATCGCTGGCTCATTGAAATCTTATCCGCCATTTTGAAAAGCACGAGGCATGGAGGACAGTCAAGAGAAAGATTTTTGCTTTTTGGGGAACGACACGTTCCCTAACCTTTACGATGCACTGGTTTATGAACGAAAATTTAAGAGTGAATACTTGGAGAGACAAATTCACGAGCGATCACTTAGGAGTGAACCTTCCATCGTGACACTTATCGAGAAATTGAGTGAACCTTCGATCGTGAAATTTATCGAGAATCAAAGCGAACACTTATCAAAATTTGTCTTCAAAAGAGACCAACGATCTCCATCGCTATGTCAATAAGGTGAGAAAACTTTATCATGCACGATATAAATGTAATAACAAACGCGATCCAAAGATAATTAACTTAAATAAAATGGCTATACCCAAGAAAGCTTATTCGTTGTCTTTCTTTAGCAGGCATTATCACAGGATAATGAAACTAAAATGTAAAGCACGTCGAGATTTATCATTGTTTTCTTGCAATTGTGTGAGTCATATGACCAATTATGAGAATTTCAAACTAAGTTAAGATGTTGAGAAGAATCCAGGACCTACTCAATACAATACTGATCATCGAGAAGTAATAATTAGACCTTTCATGCAAAATCACAGCTCAACAATGCAGTTGAACTCTCCTATTTCCTCTGAGAATTTGATGCAGTCAAGATTAGGTGTACTTTGTTTACAATTGTTGTGAAGTATTTTGAAAGTAATTTTTAAGACGGATCTATCTTAACTTTTGAGTTTAGTTTTTCTTTCATTAAGTCTTGTTTTTGTCCACGTACTGTTTTCCTGTTTTGATCTTTTGTTTTTACTTGTACTCGTGAAGTTATGCTTAGCTCGCGAATTTACTTATTGCCATATTAGGAATGTTACAGGTGGTCGTGTTTGTGGTCTTAGAGCTGACCTTCGTTCTTTAGTAATTATCAGCTGCGGCTGTGCGTAGGCTAATCTATTCTCTGACAATAGCAAACCTGTTGTAGTGTCAGCGATAAGAAATACGATGGAAACTCTTCCGGTCAGCTAACCCAAACATGTCCAGCTTTGGCTATTAAAAACCGCTACTATACTTGAACTCGGGGAATAGATGTAGGAGAAGTAGACTAGAAGTAGAGTAAGCAGAAGTTGTAAGAAGATTAAGAAGAATAAAGGCCAAGATGTAAATCAGATTCCTGGTCCCTCGTCGTGTAGCGAGCGAGTTGCTCGAACAAACCCCACATATTTTGGTGGAGAACCCGTTATTTTGGTGGTGAACTCGATATTCTGTTGGAGAAGCCGTTATTTTGGTGGCGAACTCGTTATTTTGGTGAAGAGTACAAGATCAGCCCTTGGAAATCTGTAAGTGCTAGGAACTTTACCATTGCAAGCAACTGAGAACTCCTTTCTAAGTTTAGTCATATGTAGAATAAGAGTTATATTTAAAACAAAATAATGCCAGAGTTTCGTTTTTAAGTAATGAATAGGCCCGTTGTTGAGTTTCCACTATTTTATGGCCACGAGAGAGAAGACGTTCGTGAGTTTCTTGGCAATTATAGACGTGCCGGTTTGTTAAATGGTTGGGATGAAGAAAAATTAGCGGTTGGTCTTCCCCTTTTTCTAAAAAAAACACGCTAGCGTGTGGTTTAAAACTTTAACAGAAGCCGATGAAAATGAGTCGTTTCAAGTTTTGTCACAAAAATTAATTTCTCATTTTGAATCAAAAGTAACTCTATGGCAGTTGAGGCAAAAATTAGAAGTGCGTCGTCAGTTGTTAGGGGAGACTGTTGCCGATTACTATTATGATATTCTTTCATTCTGCTCTCGTCTAAATTTACCTAAAAGTGAATGGCTTTATTGTTTTGTACGTGGTTTAAGGCCTGATATACGTGAACATGTTATTTTACAACAACCGCCTGATTTCGAGTCTGCGTTGAACATTGCAAAACTAAAAGAGTTGGTAACTCTTAGCCGTAAATCGAATAATGGTCAAGAAGTCGAGAATTTTGAAGAATTACAGTCTAACCCCTCAGAAGAGGAAGTCAAACAGTCTGTCGGGGAAGAATCTAATGTTTGGAGTACAGATGTCCAAAATAATGGAAATCGTCGTATTAATCGTAAATTTCGATCGGGCAAACTTAATCGTTTTCGTTATGGGGGCAGCTTTTTCAGTAAAAAACACAAATTAGGCAGTTATGGAAGTTCGAAACCCAACTTTAGAGGCCTGTGTCGGAAAAACAATATGAAGAATGCTTTTCACCAGGGAAAAATGGGCGCTCAGTGAAACTGGCTGGCGCCCCTATCGTGTGTGGTAGTGAACCCTTGATGGGGGCGCTTGAAAATTCTACAAGTAATAACCATTCTTCCGTCGGATCTAGTTCTGATAAATGTGCTTTCAGTAACTCTGGAAATTCGGCCGAGAATGTTGCTAAAAAGAATGTTCAAGAGTTTAGCCATGTTTTGTCTAATCCCTGTGAGCCTATTGTTACGCCAAAGTCTAAAATGTTTAAACCTCAAGTTTCCGTCACATGTCAACATGAGTGTTCTCAAGACTGCCAACCTCAAGATGTCCCTAATGAAAATATTTTGTTTGGAGTTATAAAGTGTCTTTCTCAGGTCATAACAAAATTTGATAGTGTATTCACCGGGTCATCGCCAAATGAAAAAGAAAATGGTCATTCGCCAAATGTACCTATGTTTTCTCCTAAAAGTGAAGTCATTTATGAGAAGTCTTCAAGTGAAAATTTATCTCGAGAAGTCAGTAAAAAAGAAATTAAAAAAGATGAACAGTTGGCGCCTGAGTCTAAAAATAAAGAAAATTTTGAAGTAAATATCGTTGGGGCTAAAAACAATGTTTGTAGTGAGTGTCGTGGCTTATCTGTCGCAAGTAGCCCAGAGACAGGGGCATATGTGACTGACGTGACTGACAGGGTTTCTTTGCCTGCAACATCCAGTAAAATTGATTATATTCATCCTTTCCAGAGGGACAATTTTAATGTAAGTGTAACAATAGAAGGAAATAGTTATCGTGCACTCCTTGACACAGGAGCAGCTGTAACAGCAATTAGTTCGCAAGTTTGGGACAAGTATCTTAGTCACAAAAATTGTTGTTTAGATTCCTCGTCGACCAGTTGTGTAACGACTGTAAGTGGTTCTCCTCTTAACGTTCTTGGTAAAGTATGGCTCAATTTTGTTATTAAGTCTGATGTTTTTCCTTTTGAAGCCTATGTTATCAAAGATTTGACATATGACGTTGTTTTGGGCAGAGATTTTCTTCAAAAATATTGTTCGAGAATTGATTTTACGGGCAACGTCATTGAATTTTCCCACCCCGAGGATCCCCTCCCCTTTGCTGATAGTTTTGGTGATGATTTGGATGCTGAAGTTTTTGATAATTGTATTTTGTCAGTGCATGCTGATAATTCTTTTACTATTCCCGCTCAATCAGAAGTCGTTGTCGTTGGTAGATTAAGTTCAATGCCGAAAGGTGTAAACATAAGTGCCAGTGAAATTTATGGATTGGTCACGCCTAAGTCTGATTTGCCTCACCGTTATTCAGTTTTTGGAGCGTCAGAGCTCGTAAAGATTTCTAATGATGCAACTATTCCTGTTAGGATGGTAAACCCCTCCGCTCAACCAGTTAAAATTTTTCGTAGGACTAAATTGGCAGATTTTGAGCGTGTTGATAATGATCTAGCAACATTTGAGATTGGCAAAAATTCCCCTTCTTCGGATGCTCAACATAATTCTTCAGATGATCTGCAACAGCCAAAAGATTATTCAGAGTTTCCTGATTTGTCGAATAGTATTCTGAACGATGATGAGAAAGTAAAATTTAAGAATTTGTTTAATAAATATCGTAATGTTTTTGCTTTTCCTGGGGATCAGTTGGGTAGAACATCCCTTGTACAGCATGTCATTGATACTGGTGATGCTATGCCTATTAAGCAAAGGCCGTATAGAGTATCTCCTGATGTTAAGAAAGAGATTGACCGTCAGGTGGAAGAAATGCTTGAAAAAGGAATAATTCAAGAGTCTGTCTCTCCTTGGAGCTCTCCAGTTGTTTTGGTAAAAAAGAAGGATGGGTCATTTAGATTTTGTGTTGATTTTCGTAAAGTTAATAAAGTCACTAAAGTAGATAGCTTTCCAATGCCTTTAGTTGCTGATGCGCTAGATTCTTTAGCTGGTGCAAACGTGTTTTCCGTGTTGGATCTAAAAAGTGGTTTTTGGCAAATACAAATGCAGAAGGAATCGCAACAAAAGACAGCCTTTTCTACTCACAATGGCCTTTATGAATTTCTCACAATGCCGTTTGGATTAGTGAATTCAGGAGCCAG